TCCCGCCAGCCTCTGACTTCAGCCATGCTAATGGCAGAGAGGGGAGCCGGAGTGCACCAGCCGCTCTTCCCCCCTTATTTGCCAGGACCCCCCTCCCCAACTTGCTCTGTGCCCAAAGTGACCCTCCTGCTGTTACTCTCAGTGGGGCTCCTTGATAGCCCCAAATCATGCCTTTGTTTACTCTTTGAGTATGTTCCTTGACTAGGTATTTTTGAGGGGCAAGGGGACAGAAATTCAGAGTTCAGTTTAGTAGGAGTACAGAAGGCCTTTGATTTCCCCGCAACATGGACTCTTCCAACCCACCTTCAGAGCCAGCCACCGGACCTCTCCAACACCTCTCTTGCCATCTTCGTCACACTTGGCCTACATGCGGCACACGCCTGAGCTATGGAGAGGCACAGATTCTCAGGGGAACGTGCTATGTGAACTTAGGAATTCACAAAAGGAGAAATGGCTACCCTTCCTATGGTACCGCAGAAAACACTCCATATTTAAAAAAGTAAAAATCCTGTGACAAAGACCTGAGCCTCACAGTTTAGAAACCGGCTTGTGAGAGCTGAGACATCAGAAAATGATCTGTTATTTTAAAGTGAAATTGCTAATAATCTTGGATGAATTACTTTGCGCGCGCGTACGCGCGCACACACACGCTGCTGTATCAGTGAGATCTGGTAACTGCTTCATTTCCTCCTTCTTGCTGAGTGCTTTCTAATTATTTTAGTTTCGGTTAGAAAATAGGAAGAAATTATGAGCAATTAATCTGGGAAAGCTTTGCTAGTTAAAACCATTAAAAACAATGGTTTAAATATGTATTTGGGACTGTATTTATAGTTTTTAACTTTTGTCTTGCCCCAATCAGTTAACATAAAGTTACCAGATCATACCAAAATACACCCAAATCAACCAGTATAGAAAGAAAGCCTATTGGAAACAAACAGCATTCTCGAGCCTTTGTAAATGTAGTCCCCGGATGAATTAGTTGTCAGGTTTCTGCTTATGCTGAATTGTTAGTACTTCCACTTGTAATAATAAAACGACTGTCTGCAATTTCTGTTATTTTGAGCTAGGTTTTAAATTATGAGACTTAAATTAATGCTTAAATAACTCAAATACTTGAGTAAACTCTGCACTTTTTATGATGAGACAAGTCATATGAGCAATTCAATCCAGAGATGTGATATTTTCTCCTGAGTTCTCATGGTAGGATAGGTTAAAAGTATTTCTGAGACTGAATTGAAACCTTAAGAACTATAAAGCCATACATACATGTGTATTTGTGGATGGTATTGAATGAAATTTGCCTCAATAAATAAAAATCTTTTCAATATAGTACAGTTTTGAAAACATTAAAGAGCTATTTGGTTTCAGTATGATCTTGTGGAAGGAGTGTTGTAATACAATTTTATTTCAAAGATTGAATTGAATCTGATGTAGTTACAGTGTCCAAGTAGAAGAGGCAGTGCATAATCAGGAAAAGAGACACTACTGACAAGCCTTAATCGAGAATCATTGAATTTCAGAGTTGCTGGAGACCCTGGCCTTACTCAGTTTCATCTGCAGATGTCTTAGATGAAGAAGCTCTTGCATGCTGCTTAAATTCAGTGCCGTTTCCACAAAGCCCATCTATGCTCTTCAGGCTTCCTTCTCCCCTTGCTCCCGAAAAACTGCCTTGATTCAAACTTCACAGAGAAGTGAGAAGTCATAGGGCCGCAGCAGTCCTGCTGGCCACAGAGCCATATCATTCTCTGTGAGCCTCCTGTTGCAGAAGGCGACCCTCCCCTCCATTCCTCCTGCGTCCACTTCTCTCTGGACCTTGTGTCAAACCAACCCTTCTAGGCTCCTGCTTTTTCTCTCCTGCATGCGTGTTCAGTTTCTTCCTCTGTTGGCTCTTACCCTCCACTCACAAGCATATTCAAGAGTCTCCCACCATTATTAAAAGCATGCACACACACACGCATTCACATCTGAACTTTCCAGCAAGAAGACCTTCTAAATTCATGTTTTGAGATCTTTTACCGTCCATAGCAATGATAGATAAAATATAAAATTGATCAAATGATGGCAAACATCAGCGGATAGTAAACATTTGCAGAAATGGTACCGAAAATATGAAGCTGAAAAAACCAGCACATTCTACACCTCAGACTTCACTATGGTATGTGTCAATTATATTATAACCCAATAAAAATTAATTTAAAAAACCCCATGAAGTCAAAGCTGCAGAGCTGATGGGCTCCGAGTCCCGAAGGTAGAGGGCACCTGGGGCTCAGTTTCGGTGGCTGATGGGCTCCATGCGTGCACTGTACCAAATCCATGGAAGGGGAAGGAAGACCCACCGCTCATTGCTGCCTAGAACTGTGTCTTTGAATCTGCCTAATGCAGTGCAAAGGAGGATGCACATACTTCCTTGCAACCAGGACTTGAGCCAAGCTGGTCCCTGAGTCATAAATATCCAACAAGATTCTGGATTCAGGGTCCCAGGAGTTGGAGGGTGCAGCCACAAAACTTCTAAATGATGGAGAAAGAAAAATGAATTTCCCAATGAAGATGAGACTACTAAACAGAATTCCAAAGCAGATAGAGGTAATTATTTCTAAGAAAGAAAGGAAATAAAATTAATAATCAGTATTTAAATCATACATACGAGGTTAAAATATAAAACAATTCAAAGAAATACTTAACATAACTATACTAAGACCCTCAAAGAGATGAAGGAATAATGTAAAATAAAGTGACAAATTTGGAAAAACAGGAATGAAACAAAAAGCATATGTGAAGGAGAATGAAGAAGAAATACTTGAAAGTAGAAATATGGTGATTGAAATTAAAAACTTCACAAAATAAACTCTTGACTCACAGCTGGAGAACTGGTGACTGGGAAGATGCACCAATTAATTTACCCATAACACATGAAAGAGACGAAGGGAGAAAAAAATGGATAAATAGGAAGGCACATTTAAGAGATAGGTAAGAACATTAAAAGGCTACAATATATGTCTGATAAGTATTTCAAAAAAAGAGGCAATATGATACATGGAATAATGAGAAATATAACAACTGAGAATATTAAATAAAAAAGGACAGGTGACCTCAGATCGAAACTACTGTAAAGATCTCTGTCGTGACATTTCAGCTCTGTCATAGTAGAATGAAAGCAGCCATAGACGGTATGTAGATGAATGGACATGGCTGTGTTCCAATAAAACTTTATTTATGAAAACAGGCAGGCAACAGGCTGAATTAGTCCAGGGAGCCTATAGTTTGACAACCCCCAATGCAGAGACTTAACCATTGTTTATATTTTCATGTATCTCCCTGCAGATATCTTACGTGTGTATATGTGTGTGTGTAAATATGTATGTAATATGTGTATACACATACACATATTTAATTATATATATGATTAACACTGGTTGTTTACCCACACGCATATCTGATGTACATTTCACAAATAATTAAAAAAGATACCATAAGTAAATCAGATACAACTTGCACCATACTTGCTTTACTGAGCATCCACTTGGACAGTGGATATGATGGCTCAGTATCCATCATATCTAAAACAAAACAAAACAAAAAAGCCCTACTCCCAAACCACTGATGAAAGGTGCCGATTTGAACTGAAGTTTTTGGTAGGGCCGTAGAGGAGAGAGCACATCACACGACCCCATGCAGAACTTCCTAAAAGCCCTGTTTTCCCAGCTCTGTTACCCTGCTGTCCCTCCCTAGCAGCAGGATAGATTCCCTCTCCCCCCACCTTCCTCAGCACTATCCTGCAGCCCTGCCAGTCCTTCATCCCCTCCTCCACCCGGCTCTACACCGTCCCTTGGCCCACAGATCCAAACCACCCGGCGAAACAAAGCCCAGTAACCACTCGCTGTGAAGAGAAAATCCGGGTCCCTAACCACAGACAGACCACCTGACCGTTCCTCCAGCAAGACTCCAGGGAGGAGTTCTATTCACTCTGTCCCAGTATACATCTACGTCATTACTTTTGATGATCACACAGCATTTTATTGTATGCGTTTATATATATGGTTACTTATATAACTGAGCCCCTAATTTTGAACAATCAGGCTACATACTGAAAATCTTTTGTTGGCTGAGTCTTGTTTTCTCAAAAATCCATGCATTGTATCAGCCAGTATGGTTCATGCAACTGTGTGGAAAGCAGATTTTCAACATAAACTCTAAAAGTACATATTATCAGAAAAAAATCATGTCTTTGAAATAGTAAATAGGTTGAAAAAGGGGGAAAATATGATTTAAAAATCTATATTAGTTTCCTGTGGCTACTGTAGCAAATTACCACAAACTTGGTGGCTTAAGACAAAAGAAATTTATTCTCTGACAGTTCTGGGATCCAGAATTCTGAAATCAAGGTGTCAGCAGGGCTGTGCTCCCTCCAAAGGCTCTTGGGGAGAAAGAATCCGGCTTTGCCTCTTCAGCTTCTGCCACCTCCAGGCGTCCCCAGTTTGTGGCCACATCACTTTAACCTTCGCCTCTGTCTTCACAGAACCTTCTCTGTGTTTCTTCGTCCCCTCCTCTGTTTCTTACAAAGACACTCATCTTTGTATTTAGGCCCCTCCACCCCCCCTGGATAATCCAGGGTGATCTCACCTCAAGATCCTTAAGTTTATTACCTTTGCAAAGATCCTTTTCCCAGTGAAGTCACATTCACAGGTTTAGGGTATTAGGATAGGGACATAGCATTCTGAAATCCATTCATATCACTACAGTATTGTTTTTAAATGTCTGAGAACCCAGATGGAATAAGTAATTCCTTTGATTCAATCATAAATGAGCAGAAAGTGAATCAGAAATACTAGATGTCATTTTCTCTAGGTCCTGGTGTAATAATCAAATTATTTGAATCATCTCTGTAATTTCTTTTCAGCTCTATTTACATTTTTAATGTTAGCAATGAAAGTTATCAAGACAAATAAAACTCCAGTACCTTGATTTTGAACCAGTGTCTTTTTGTGTGCCGTTTTTTTAAGCGGGCCTCTCTGTCAATGTTAGAGCGATCTGAGCAGCAGATTAGGGCGGCTTCTGGTTTGGAGGAACTGCTGCGAGTCACACACTTTGACAACTGGAAGCTATGGAAATGCCGACTGAAGTTCAAAGGTTTTACCAGCACAGACTCTCGCTCAGCCTCCCATCGGTCCACCAGGTTTGCGGCAACTTTCTATGACATTGAAACACTGAAAGGTAGGTGTGTGCATGTGGAGGCCAACCCTTGCTCTTTATCAGATGGTCACAGATGTGCCATTTTCTTCCAAACGCTTGAGTAGGGCAGGGATGTATTAGGGAGAAGCAAAGGGGCCTTTGGTTTCATAGCTTTGGTGTTAGTGGAGAATCCTGGTTTTCTGCATTAACTCCACAGAGAAATATATCCAGTATGATTTTGAGATCAAATATCAACACAAAAGAACACTTCAAGATACAGAAATTTATTAGACTCAGAAGTGTGAGGGCAAAACAAATCCAGGAAGACAGTTCTTAATAGAAAAAATCCTTGGGTTTACCTAAAAAATAGAACAACCTAGGTAGTCATCAATGAGGAGCATTCTAGCCACATGTATGTAGATAAAAACAGTAGATTAGTTATAGCTTTTTTATTTCTTCAACGTTCTGTGATGTTTTAGTAAAAACAAAAAGTAGGTGTTGGAAGCTGAATAATGGCGGGGGGATGGTCCCTAGCGAAAGAATCCAAACTATTGTTCAGACTAGAAAGTAACCTGATTTGAGATAAAGGGAACGATTGATCCCTAATAAGCTATGGAGGGTCTTTATAAGAAAACCGTTGTCTGTCTGCCCTGGGCCATAATGGGTGGAACACTTGCCAAATTAAGTTGTGTGGCCTCCAATTAGGCATTTACCATTTTTGATGATATGTCAGAACAACCAAGAGCCACTGTGGCATCGTTGATGAAGCAATTTTAGATCTGAGTAACATAGGATTACCTGGTACTGGATTATATCTATCTCATAATTCAAACTGACCAGAATTATTCTTTCCTTTCTAGAGTCATCCTTATTTTTTTTCTGTTTGTAAAAAAGATACTTTTGCATGGGCTGCTGTTGGTCATGGGGAGGTGTTTAGGCAGGAAAAACCCCTGGTAGCACCAAGGTGTGAGGTGAAGAGGACTCCTTGTGCTCATGCGTGTGACTGTGTGTCTAAACATTGCGTACACTATCCACTGTGTGACTGGGAAACATTGCGTACACTATCCACTGTGTGACTGTGTGTCTAAACATTGCATACACTATCCACTGTGTGACTGGGAAACATTGCATACACTATCCACTGTGTGACTGGGAAACATTGCATACACTATCCAATTTGCCAAACTTTGTGTTTTTCATAGTAAAATCTTCTATCCTAAGAAACCTTTAAAATTTTTGATTATGAATAAATTTATATGAGGGGTCTGAAGGCTATAAACATGAAGGACGAATTACCCCAGAAGCTATTAATGTAGGTATTATTTAATTCAGTATTATTAATCATGAATTCTGGAAAAACCAAGTAATCACCTGAAGAAAACATTCCCTGTCTAAAATTTTGCTTAAATGTTGCTTTCCATTTGCTTTTTTATAAAACTAAGTCTTGAAACTGGTGCAGTAAGATTTTAATCAAAACTGTGTGGAGCTATGTTCAGGGTGCTGACTAAAGGCATCCTAACTCTACTGTTCTTTACTACTGCCCGGCAGGACTGCTCCACCTCTGGGACGACCTTGAAATCCACGACAGAGAGTTGGTGACAAATTATAATTGGGGTGGCACACCAATTTGATTATTTGCCACTTCTAACTCAGTAAGTAACTTTAGATGATCTCCCATGTAATAAGAGACATTTAGAGCTGGCAAATTACATATTTTTTATGATTTTAAAACATTAAAAAATGTTTTTATGGTTTCCTCCTTAGAAAATACGTCACTAGCTTTTTAAAATCATCTAGTTTTGGTTTTATGGTAATGCTGCTACCTCCATCTCCCAGTACGTCCAGGGTCACGTCAGGCCTTCAGACAGGTAATCTGGTTAAGAGGCCTTGGCTCTCCAGGTGAGGCTGGTTGCCTCTGTGCTCATAAAGTCCATGTTATTCAACCATCTCAGCTTGTTTAGACACACAGTCACACGCATGAGCACAAGGAGTCCTCTTCACCTCACACCTTGGTGCTACCAGGGGTTTTTCCTGCCTAAACACCTCCCCATGACCAACAGCAGCCCATGCAAAAGTATCTTTTTTACAAACAGAAAAAAAATAAGGATGACTCTAGAAAGGAAAGAATAATTCTGGTCAGTTTGAATTATGAGATAGATATAATCCAGTACCAGGTAGTCCTGTGTTACTCAGATCTAAAATTGCTCCATCAACGATGCCACAGTGGCTCTTGGTTGTTCTGACATATCATCAAAAATGGTAAATGCCTAATTGGAGGCCACACAACTTAATTTGGCAAGTGTTCCACCCATTATGGCCCAGGGCAGACAGACAACGGTTTTCTTATAAAGACCCTCCATAGCTTATTAGGGATCAATCGTTCCCTTTATCTCAAATCAGGTTACTTTCTAGTCTGAACAATAGTTTGGATTCTTTCGCTAGGGACCATCCCCCCGCCATTATTCAGACATCTTGTATTTTGTGTTTTCAGTGATTGAAGAAGTAACACATGAGGAAAATTGAGATTAAGGTGGGGGGAAAAAAATAAAATGGAAAAGATGTTTTAAGAGGATAATTTAGAAACCATGGTCACATCTCCAACACAAGATTATATCTGTACACTTCAAACAGAAGTTCTCTCTAGTAGAAACATGTTCACGTACATGGCAATTCAGAATAATCTGAGGAGAGACCAATACAAATTTGCGAAGATGGGGTAAAAATGGAGAAGAGTTTGTCTACAGCTATATAATCGTTACCCCAAAACTTAGCCACTTAAAAACCTTTTTTGTCTCACAGTTTCTGTGGGTCAGAAATGCTGACATGGCCTAGATGGGTATCTGTCTGTCCTTCAGGGCCTCTCAGGGGACCTCAGTCAAGGGGTGAGCTTGGACCGCAGGCAGCTGGGGCCGCATGGGTTTCCACGTTCACTCAGTGGTGGTTTGCAGGACTCAGTTCCTCACTGGCGGTTGGCCTGAGGGTCCCCATTCCTCACTGGTGCTTGGCCAGAGCCTGCCCTCAGGTCCTTGCCACATGGACCTTTCCAGTGTGGCAGCTCGCTTCATCCAAGCCCACACGCTGAGAGGGCAAGAGGGAGAGTGCCAGCAAGACAGAAGGCACAGTCTTTTAAACCTACTCATGGAAGTGACATCCCATCACAATGGCTGTCTTCTCTTCATAAGAATCGAGTCACTAGGTCCTGCCCGTACACAGAGGAGGGGATTTTTCAAGGTTGTGAACACCGGGGGTGGACATTGCTGGGGGTCAGCGTAGAAGCTGCCTACCCCAAGAGGTTTGCGCCACCACTCCCAACATGTAACACTGCACAGCCCCATGGCAAGCTCAAAGAGAGCCTTTAAATAAGCTGGCTTTATCATAAAATTGAGTCATTTCCCCAAACCACTGGTAAAAGGCAGTATAACATTAAGCATCAAAGTGTCAAAATCCAATTTTAAAAAGTAAACTAGGAGAGAAAAACAAGGATTGTTTTACAAGAATGTTTGTAAGCTTTTTATTCCCAGAGGCTTGTCTCTTTTTCTTGTTTCCTTCAAATTAGCTAAATGGCCAGAATATTGCTTCTTCTGTTCCAATGAACTGACTTATTTCATCTTGTTTTGTAAACATCAGTATCGGGCACTTGCAAATGAGAAAACTCTCATTTGAGGAAAGATTAGCTGCACTTTAATTTCCATTCTCATGTTTGCCAGGTTTGAATCCTATTACAGTTACTTAAGCAGCTAACAGAAATGTATTTCTTGATGGTGCTAAAACCTACCCACACCTGGCTTCAAGTAGAAAAAATGCTATCCAGCTGTGTCCTATAAATTGCTTAATAAATAACACATGCTTCCATTTACTTCCTTATTAGCCAGCTTCTCCAGATGTGCCCAGTATAGTTAGTTCTATGCAGGACATGGTATTCTTCACCAAAGAAAAATAAAACTACAGTTGATCCTCAGTGTGGGATTGAACTGCACAGGTCCACTTATATACAGATTTTTTTACAATAAATGGACATTTTTTGGAGATTTGCAACAATTTGAAAAAATGTTTCTTCAGCTTACTTTATTGTAAGAATACAGTGTATAATACATATACAAAATATGTGTTCACAGACTGTTTATGTTTTCAGTAAGCCAGGCAGTAGTAGGCTATTAGTCGCTAAGTTTGGGGTAGTCAAAAATTTTCTGAGGATTTTCAACTGCAGTGGGGGCCAGTGCCCTTAACCCCTGCGTTGTTCAAAGGTCAACTGTTTCTTCTACTAAGATAGTGTATAAATGGGAGAGAACATAGACTTTGGGTTTAATCTTTCTGAAAGCAGTCTTTGGTTAAAGGACTGACAAAAAAAATCTCCATCTAGAGCAATAAATAAGTCCCCCGAATGTGAAAACGACTGTGTTCTGCGTGAGCCTGGCCCACATTGGCATGGCAGGGCCATCTCCGCTGCTGCCCCAATGAGCTTCCTGTCTGCAGTTATAGATGAGGAATGGCAAAGAACCCAGTGCAGCCCCAGAGAGACGTGCGTGGAGGTGGCCAGCGAGCTGGGGAGGAGCACCGACACGTTCTTCAAGCCTCCCTGTGTGAACGTGTTCCGGTGTGGCGGCTGCTGCAACGAGGAGAGCCTCATCTGTGTGAACACCAGCACCTCGTACGTCTCCAAACAGGTGTGAGGACCTCAGCAGGCGTGCCCTCTGCAAAGCCCTGCTGATGACAGTGTTGACAGCTACTACTGAGCTTTTTGCCGAGCCCTGGTCTAAATAATTTCTGTGCATTACCTTGTTTAATCCCTGAAGCAAACTAAAAGGGTATCTTACTATTCTTCTGTATAGGTAAGGAAACTGAGGTTCCGGGAGGTAAGTTATGGCAGAGCTGGGGTTCAAACCAGATCTGTGTGACTCCAGAGCCTGAACTCTTATCAGCTACTGTTTCTCTGATGCTATAAGGTCAATAATCAGAAAATCATGGAAGTTACTAGAACAGATATTAAAAGAAATGAAGACAGCTATGCTCTTGTGAATTCCTTAGGTTCTGTGTTGTTCAAATGGAATGATGGAGAAGAGTTGAGTGAAGGGGGTGGGCAGGGTTAGGGGCAGGTGGGCGGGCTAGTCTAGAAGTTCCCAGGGCTAGCAGAAAGGAGAAGCTGTGCCCACTTAGACCCAAGAGACAAGGGGATGGAGCAGACATGGGCACCCAGAGAGGGAGTGGAGGGGCGGGCTGCTGCACCTGCTGGAGGAGTGGTGGCCCTTGCCAGCCTGACATGGGGTGGGGGGCGGGGTGGAGGAGGCCAGAGGGCCTGGATCTGGAGGTCAGCGTCCCGGGACACACAGCCCCGTGGGGAAGGAAGTCAGGGGGACGGTGTCTTTAGAGGGGCAAATGGAGTCTAGTTAGCACAGAAGAACTTTGAAAATAATTTTGCAGTCCCCATAAGGAAATAATTCTTCCCTCTCTGTCTTATAAAATCCCTTTTGCTCAGCAGATAAGTTTTCCTTTCTATCGCTACCACATTGTTGTGAAATATAATAAATGTTGCATAGGAGAGCAGTAATAACAAACTTAGGGAGTAAAACATATCCAAAAGCTATAAGTCAAAGTATATTCCTTTTGGTTCTATGTTGTCAATTCCTCATGCATGTTGATATATTCATTTAATTGTCACATATGCCTATAGTCTATTCTCATGGTTATAAAAGGTATACAATAAAATTATATATGCACTAAAAATAGCCATGTTAGGTAATTATTTAACTGGATGGAAAGAATGGATTGCTGATTTGTTTGATAACAGGTTAACCTATCCTTAATTTTGTTCCTCCCGCAAAATATCCCCAAACTGCAGAGTTTCTTTTTCTCAAGTCTTTTAGAGGATCTTGGAACTTGTAAAAATTCTGACCTCTTACTGTTTGACCGGGAAAAAATGACATAAGTATGGCTTAGCATCAACTGTCAGGAGAAACAAAGTTTGCATAATATAAGAGGCTTTAGTGCAAGACCATGTTATTCCCTGGAGCATAGCTGGAAAATTTCACAGTTTATGCAAAGTAAACACTCTAAAAACGCTATTACTTACACTCTTGGAAGTTCCTTACATATTAAGAGGTCAGAATAAACACAACTCTAATGGATTATTTCCACTCAATAGATAGATGAGTATTTTGACTGCTGTACTCAACAAATGATTAGTTTTAAAGAAGGTACTTAAGCATAAGTGTACAGCAGTTTTCCTTTTCAAATATGCATGCTTAAACATTTTAGTAGTTGTTTTTAAAAAACTACCTCTCATCCCAAGGTTATGGACTATTTGATGAAATACCTCTTAGAAGCAAAGTGAATAAATGAATACTCATGTAGTAATGACTACATGGAGTGGTGATTGAATGGACAGAGCATTAAAATCAAATTCAAATTCATCCATGCATCATACAACCAGTCTAGAAACAAAGTAATTGGCATTTCTCTAAGTTCTACTTGCCAAGATCCCACCTTACTTCTTCTGGTCATAGCAGTTTCATTCCAAAAAATAATTAAGACATATTCTTATGACTATCACCTCTGACTGTAGAGTAGACTGCCTGGGTTCCAGTCCCTACTCCTCCAATCAATATTTGGGTGGCCTTAGGCAAGGTATGTAACCTCTCTATACATCTGTTTCTTTGCCTGTGGAGTTGGAGGAGGGAGGATAAACCCCACCCTATAATGTTATAAGGGTAAATAAATTAATGTAAAACAGGGCCTGGCATATAGAAACAGAGAAAAAGTGATATTCATGTTGCCTACAATTACTTGGTTGGGCATGATCATCTTGTACCAGTCTGTTATTACTATGTAATGCTGGATAATAAATACCCTAGAACTCAGTAGCTTCAAACAGTTACTTATTCTCACTCATGTATTTGAGATTCAGTTAATCCTGAGCGGGCTCAGTTGGGCTTGACTCCAAGCTGCAGGTTGAGTCCGGGTGTGTTCCCAGTGTCTCATCCCTTGGACCAGCAAACCTGCCAGATTGTGCCCTTCTCATGGCTACAGCATATGCAGCCCCACCAAGCATGCACAGTTCAAGTTTGTAGTTGTGCCATGCCTGCTAACACCCTGTTGGCCGAAGCAAGTCACATGGCCAAGTCTAAACTCAAGGAACAGCAAACGATATGCCTTCAACAGAGATGGTGCGAGAAGAGAAAAGTAAATAATCTTATTTTGAACACTAATCTATTTGCCATGGTCTCAAAGAAACTTTGTAGCTATAATTTCATTTAATCCTTCCAATTTACACTGGAATTTAAAGCAGAAGCAAGGACCAGAAGTCCCTTTTATAAAGGTACCAGTGATAGCAAAAGTTAAGAGTTTGATCAAGCTTCAATACTTGATGAAGTTGGAGAAACCTCTGGTCTCCTGACTCCCAGCCCAGTATTCTTTCCATCATGTCAGGCCTTATCCTTATTAGTTCTATTCTTATTGGACAACTTTGCTTAAAGTCACTGCCATGAAGGACAAAGGCAAGAATGCAGACTATAGAGATTATTATCATTTTAAAAACATGTATGTATTATCTTTCTCCATTCTAGCTCTTTGAGATATCAGTGCCTTTGACATCAGTACCTGAATTAGTGCCTATTAAAGTTGCCAACCACACAGGTTGTAAGTGCTTGCCAACAGCTCCCCGCCATCCATACCCCATTATCAGAAGATCCATCCAGATCCCGGAAGAAGATCGGTAAGCATGTCTTGTACTCGATTATAATTGTTCTTGCCTTTGCTAAAGTTGCATGTTAGGAAGACTTCATTAATTATAGAGTCATCACTTTCTCCTCAAGTTTTCATCTTTCACCTTCTACCCCAGATCTACTGGTAAAAACTGTTTGGCAAATATATTTTTTATTAGGTGTTAGATATATATTATAGTAGGACCCGAAAGCTCAGTGGTTAAGAACTCACCGTGTCTACTTACAGACACCTTTGTTCTTAATACACACAGTCTAATGCCCTTGTAAGACTCTATTCCAACCTCAAATTTGGCACATGTTCCCTCATTCTAGAACACGCATAACTTAAAGCTCATCTCAGGCTGTTCAAACAGTTAAGTGCCCAAATCAGCAGGAGAAGAAAGGGCTCCTGAAGTCATGGGGAGTGGCCAAATGATCTGCATCTTAGTTTGACTGTCTTCTTGCCCTCCCTTTTAAGATTACCAAATGGAAATTTCTCATTTTAAATTCAAATGACTTAAAATTAATTTGACTTGGAAATTTTCTTTCGAGTATTTTGTGATTCCTTATGAGACAAATTATGACACTCCCAAGTGTTCTGAGATCAAAGGTGAGAATCATGGGTTTGGAAAGAAAAGAATTTAAAATAGAGAAACAAAGAAAGGGCTAATTACAAACACTGAATGAAAACATAAAACAACTAAGTCGGATACCTAGATCTGGCAAAAGTGAAGCAATACACGCATTGTGTGAGTGGTAAGTGCAGGAGTGAACTGGTGGTTACAAGTTAGTTAACGCTGAGTGGAGAGGGCACCTCTGTCTCTTTCAAGCAGAAAAGAAAGTTCATAGAAAAGGAACACTCATCCTGAAAGTGTTCCTGCTGCCCTGGTTGGTGTTCTTATTTCCACGTTAAAGAAGATAATGCTTAGGAGCTATGTTAGAACAATATCTACTTCCGGTAAATAAGCTCTGTTTACAGCTAATTTGCATCATTTTAACACCTATCTTCTTAAAAAGATTATAACTCTCTAAAATGACAGTTTAGTTTCCAAAAGTTCTCAAATAGGTTATTTGTAATTACAGAATCACTATGTGATAACATGCAGTTTATAAATAGGAATTAGGCTCCTTAAAAATCTTACCTATTCTCCACTCAGAAATTTATTCAGTGTTTTAAAAAATGTTCCAAAGGTATGATTGCCCTTGAAAGCTTTTAAACCTGGATTCTTGTTTTCTTTCCCTAGCTGTTCCCATTCCAAGAAACTCTGTCCTGTTGACATGCTCTGGGATAACAACAAATGCAAATGTGTTTTACAGGAGGAGAATCCACTCAGTGGAATGGAAGGTAAGGGTAGCTAGTGAAACAATAGTCATAATAATCAAAATAACAACAGCAACTAACATTTGTTGAGTATATATTATGAGCAGGTAATGTTGTGATAAGCCTTTGATATGTAGTAACTCATCTAATCCTCACAACAGTCTTATAATGTACTATTAGTATCCCCTTGTGTTTACAATTACAAAATGGACACACCAAGATACCTAGTAATTTTCTTAAGATCACATAGCCAAGAACGATAGAAGCAATCAGGTCGCAGAGCCCTACGTGCTCTAATTATATAGCAAGCCTGCCAATGCATGACTCTGCTTCTTAATCTTAAAGAAAAGCCCGAAGTGATCAGACCATCCCAAACCTTGAGCGTAGAAGAGGATGGGAACCTTTAATGGGAGCCAGCTCAGTACTCAACACTAGCCAGCCACATTTGGCTACTTCATTTATATAAAAGTCTCATGGGAACATAAAGTAATTTTGGACTTGTTGGTTTCTTTCAGCTGCATCATGTGAAAACATGCCAATTATTTGAGAATAATGGGGAATAAGAGAAAACTTTGTGAAACTAGGGCGAAGGAAGAGCAGAGCTTGGCTCTTGCCACCCCTAACTCATAAATGCAATAAATTTTGGTGATGAACATTTGGTTGAAAGCGAGTGCATGTTAAAAACTGTTTTTCCAGAGAACGTGACGTGTTCCACTGAAAAAAATCTCAAGGAGTCGTATACTTTGGACCTTGCTTGTTTTAAACGATAATCTACACGTAAGATTAGTAAGGATTAAACTCCAAGGAATGTTTTCCTAGGAACTGGAAATAACATTCTGCGTCCTGTACTTCTGTCTTGTAGCTTCCTTTTGAATGTTTTCTTAAAAGCTCAACTCAGGGTTTGAGCAACACTTAAAGTTCATGTAGTTTAAGTACCATGCAGGTCTTGGATGTCATCTGCGTCCTTCCCACCAAGTGCTCTGCCGTCCTCTACCAGAATATGCATCAGTCACAGGGGAAGTTGCCACCTGCCGAGGCAGCCCGCTGGGGACACTCTTGTTGTTAGTGAACTGTAGTGAACCTAAATCTCTCTCTCCAGAACAGGACTGCCCAATGGAATTACAGGGAAAGCCACATATGTAACTTACATTTTATAGTACTCACATTAAAAAGGCCAAAGGAAGCAGGTGAAATGAATTTTCATATATTTTATTTAATCCAACATATCAAAAATAGCCTCCTTTTTAATATGCAACCAATATAAAATTTATTAATGAGACATCCTTCATTCTTCATGCTAAGTCTTTGAAGTCCAGTGTGTCTTTTACACTTACAGCACATCTCAATTGCCATTTCGTGTTCAGTAGCCACTACCATGTTGGATAGCCCAGCTCTAGAGCATCAAACCATTAGTTCAGGTTTTACTCTGTAGGGCCATGTAGACCGATCTAATTGTCCATGTGACTCATTTTTAATAGTGTTAGAAAGTTACCGTGGGAAGCAATATATAGAGAGCTTAAAGGCTGTTATAGTCGAGGTTTCCCTTACACACAAGCTTCTGAGAGAGGTTTATACTCAGAGGTTTGCTAAGAGGTGCCAGCCAATCCTATGGTGAGCTGAGGCTGGGACGGCCCTTGGGGGCATGTTTCAAATGGAGGCAAAGGAGCTGCGTCCTGTGGCCTTCTCATTGGATATGGGATGCCATGCGGAGCGGATGTAACCTTGGGTGAGGCAGCTTCTTTCTGGTGAAGGTAATGCCGCCTGTAGAGGGCCTCAGCTGGTGCTTAAGTGTGGTGAGAGTGCGAAGAGCAGCAGGGAAGGAGAGGCGCCCTGAGCAGGGGAAAGCTGAGTGCTCAGGACTGGAGCTGAGGGGACCGAGCGTGTCGGGGAGCTGGAAGAAGGTTAGCATGCTGGGGAAATAATGGGAGGGCGCTGGGGAGCTGTGAGAGAGGAAACTGGAAAGGTTCACAGGGGGTGAACCTTGTCCCAGAGCTCGGGTGTGGTGCTAAGAGCAAAGAGAAAACCACTCAGCTGTTCACCCAGAAAAGGGACAGCATCAATTAGCATTTTAACCAACTCAACCCAGTGACAGTGTAGCAGAGGATGGGTGGCCTGGGGCAGGGAAGAAGGCAAGGACCTTGTGGGAAGTTGTAGCAGTAATGGAAGTGAGAGGCATGAGGCAGCCTAGGTCACCATCACTTCCAGTTTTCAAATCTCATAATTCTATTAATGTGGGCCAAGTTCACGGTCACTTCTCAGTGGCCCCACTGAGCTTACTGTTCACTAAACACCTTTTTCTCACTTGAGGCTCTTCAGACAACTGCCTTTTCTATGACTTCTTTTCCCAGAATGAGCATACTTAGGTTAGTGAATCCAAGTTCAGTTTAATTTCATCTTGTTAGATTCAACTCATTGCTCTAAGCTATTAAAAAACAAACAATACCCCAAAAAGGGAAAAATATTGGGAAGCCCTAATTCTGCATTTTAGATTCCTCGAGATAGCCACAACTTCAAGAATTTACTTGGAAAAATTCCATCAGCTTATTGATTAAAAAAGATCAATGGACCACGGCTGGGAACGGAACCCAGTGGTATCCCATCATCAGCCTCCCTAGGCTTGAAATCAGTATAGAATACTTCAGGGTATCACCCTTAGCTGGATGCTGCTTCACTTAGTCCCCCTCCACCCAGTCTCTGGTGCTTTGCACTAGCCTGTAAGCATTGAGGCCATCCTCTGCCCGCTGCTCAGCTGAAGTTCAGCCAACACATAGCGGGCAGAGGCGGGGGAGCTGTTTCCCTAAAGCTACGCAAGAGTGCAGGAACGGCGGCCTCAACTGTCTGAGTGAATGTCTGCTGCCACCTAGTGCTTCAGGCAAATCTTTCAAGAGCCTCTTAACTGTCCTGTTCTCTCCTTGCCCCAAAGTGACATGCGCCTCTCTGGCATATGGCCTACGAAGCTCACCTTTTTTCCTCTTCACGCAATTCAGACTGGAATCCCCCCAGAGCTAGCCTTCCAACACCCATTCTACGTGACCCCTCAAAGATCGTCAACCACAAAGAAGTTAAAACTATAAGATTGGATGACATGAGACTGCCATTTTGGTACATCATTCATGCTCAAATATTGGCAAGATAATGTGGTTTAACCCAATGTCTTGGAATGCTGGCTGGGATTCTTCAGTCTCCATACATTGGCCTATGTCAGGACCCTTTTATCACACCAGATAAATCAGCAAGCATTTATCAAGTGCCTATTATATGTCAGAACAACAAGACCTAGTCCCCTATTACCTTCACGATTTTTAATTAATGGAAGAAGCATAGAAATAAGCAGACAAATGTATGCAGTGCAAGAAAAGACAGGATAGAAATATGCACAGGGTGAGGGCACTTAGCTAACCTCCAAAAATTGAGAAAGCGGTCTGGGGAAAGGATGACTAGCAGAGAGAAGGACAAGGCTAAAAACATGGGGCTGAAAGACCCTGGCATATCAGGGGAACAAAAAAAATGCTGTAATTTGGTATGGCTGGAACATATGGTGTATATGAGAGGCAGAAGATGAGTCTGGAAGGTTAGTAGGTCCAGTTTATGGAGGGTCTCATATGTCCTGGTGGGAGAACTGGCTTTTGCATGTGTGTGAAAGGGAGGAATCTTTTAAGGTACTGAACGCAGTAGAATGATGTGATTGGATTTGCATTTGATAATATTATGGACACTGGATTGAAGGGGTAAAACTTCTGGTGGCAAGATGACTGACAGCCATGTACACCAAAAATACAAGGTTCTGACTTAATTGAAGGGGTGGTAGTGATGATGGAAAAGGAAAAACAAATTCATGGACGCAGAACTGGTTGGATATGGTGATTAGACTCAATACGGCAGGTGGGTCAAGAAGGATGACACCATTCCCTAAATGAGGCAAACCAGGAGAGAAACACGTTTGGGGAAGAAACCAAGCACGCTTTCCTCCAAAACCTTCAAGAGTGTTAAGGTGACACAGAGTCAAGTTCTTCCAAAGTTTCTCTCTCTCCCATTTTTTGCAATGAATTTCAACTTGATCAGAATTAGACGTGGAGTCTTAGTTATACAATTGTTTTACACTCTTTCTAGAAGTATCTCTCAGCTAACTGTGTAGAAACTTCTCAAAACCTCCTCTATCAACCAAGCATATCTTCTAGCAGATGTTCATGGAATCCAACTTCATTATCATATTGTATTTTTTATATCAGTGTTGTGGTCTGCAGTGAGGAAATTCCTGTTTCTACCCACAGTCTGGAAGGTCTGAGGTGTATTTCTACAATGCCAATCCTTTGGTTCCTGTCTCCTTTTAATCTTCATAAACATCAGAGCACCTATATTTTAGTACTAATATTGGCTTGTGAAAGTTTGCATTTAAAAATTTTTTTTTTATTAAGGTATGATTGATAAACACTCTTATGAAGGTTTCACGTGAAAAAACAATGTATCAACTCCCCACCCATACCCAATGCAGTCACTGTCCATCAGTGTAGTAAGGTGCCACAGATCCACTACATGCCTTCTCTGTGCTACACTGTTCTCCCCGTGATCCCCCACACCATGTGTACTAAACAAAATACCCCTCAGCCCCCTTCTCCCTCCCTC